ACTTGTACTTTTACTCAAGTATCACTTTGTGGTACTTTATAAAACACTGGATATTAACCCTCCTGCTGTCCTTGGGTCAAAGCGGTCACTCCRAGCCGAGGGCAGCAGGAGGGATTTGGTTATTTTTGCATTTATTTTGGTGCAGATTTTCCTCCTCTGACCACTTGGAGGCGCTGGTGTGTGTCGACAGCTGAGACAGAAGGAAGGTTAAATCGGACACAAAGATCTCTGCAGGTTTTCATCCAACAGCAGATCAACGATGACGTTTTAATCTCAACTCATCTCAATCCAGTTAAACACACCTGTAGCATCTTCTGAGATTAGGATTAAAACAGGAAGAGAATTAAAAATACCTGGAGATGTCAGGTACTGGGCACCTGATCAGATGTTTGATCTGTCACTACAGTCAACATATGGGCACACACACACACACACACACACACACACACACACACACACACACACACACACACACACACACACACACCTGCTCCTTCAAAAGGAGAGCCATGCGGTCACACATCTGGTTGCCATCGATGGAGGTGAGGGCGATGTAGAGGAAGAGGCCGTACAGGACCGGTTTGGGGATCCACTGGAGCGGGACGGGCAGCAGCAGAACCGACACGCCGATGAAGATGTTGGCAGCCAGAGACGTCAGACGGGTCTCCTTCACCTGGACGATGCTGCAGGGACACACACGGCGTGTTAAAACACACATATCTCTGGGGATTTTCTTCTRTATTTAGAGGAGGTTCAGATCTTTTCAAGCCAAAGAATTATAAATATTCAATGTCTAACCTGCAGCAGATGGCTCTCTGAACAACCTCAGTTTGTAAAAAAACTTTAATTCTAACGAGGCTGACGAGCTAACGGCTAGTTAGTCTTCAGACTGAGAGTTGTTTTAAAATATTGTGCAGGATCTGTTAGCACTTGTTAGGGATGACTCTCAGCTACTACTGCACCAGATTTGAGCTCAGTCTGTAAAACTTACTCAGGTATGGAAACTATTGTTTAATGTTTTTTAGATCAATTGGCAGCCATCTTGAATCAGGGTATCTACACAAGTTTATCAGCTTAATCTCCCAAGAATTACTTCCTGAAAGTTTCATTAAAATTGTCCAGTTTCTTTAGAAAACGACTCTTTACAACAGGAACGTCAAATAAATATATAAAAGGTTTGCCATACAGCTTCAGCATACATATACGTATTATATGAGTTAACTGCTTGCCGTACTGGCCCCTCTTGTTGGTCATGACCAGGAAATGGCAGGTCTTTAAACTTTAACATGTTTTAATTTTAGTAGATGTTGATGTTTTGTTTCTACTTCTTTTCTGTCGTAGCTGTTAGCTAAACAGCGTTAGCTAAATGACTTTAGCTAACAACATTAGCTGAACAACGATGTTAGTTAAACATAAGCTAAACAACATTAGCAGAACAATGTTAGTTAAACGTTTGCTAAACAACGTTAGCTAAACAACTTGAACATCACCAAATTCTGCCTCCATCTTGTTGACGATGAACCTCCAACCATCTGACCTCTTTTTGTTCACGTTACAAGAATGTTTTTGTCTGTATTTGAGTTTTTCTTGGTGTTTTATTGTGCTGGGTCCTGAGGACATGTTTTCCAACGTGTTGCCTCTGTGTCTATGCAAGCTTCTGTTTCCTGTAATATTAGCATTCATGCTAACAGCATTTTAGCTCTCTTCCTCCAGAGAATTTCTCCTTGTTGTCCTCCCCCACATTCAGACAACACTCCTCTGAAAAACGTTGTCATTATTGTCCCAGTGG